TTCTTTGTAGAGGTCTTTTGTGTCTCTGGTAAGATTTATTCCCAAGTATTTTATTTTTTTGGTAGCTATTGAGAACGGTATTGATTTTCTTACCATGTTTACTCTTAAAACAAATGGCTACAAAGGATATCTATTTTGGACCCAATTTTATACTAAATGCTAGAATTACGCAATTAGTCACAAAGGGTTAGCACATTTTTCTTGAGTCAATTCCAAATCATGGGAATTCCATGGAATTCACATAAAACTGCACTCTATACTGTTTTCTTGGCAGTAGTCTTACAAAAGCAGATCATCCTTTCAATTAGTTGCCAAGAGCAAACTGTGTTACCCAGGGACCTAGACCATGAATCATTATAAATACATATTTATGATTAAGATTTTTTAAGAGAACGTTATTAAATGTAAATAAGACTTCCTACAACTATTTTTTAATATCTTGATGGATTATTCCAGTATTTTACAGAGCGTTCCCATCCTCCTTAAAGATTACCACAGCTAAATAATGGCAAGTCAAGGAACTGAACATATATAAACTCTGGGGGTATAAATATTAATGGATTTGTATTCTAGAATGAATGTTTTGAAGGGTGAAGAATAGCTTAAAAGGGCTTTAGAATAAAAGAAGTGTAACCAGAGAACTCCTTCATTAAAAATAGGAAACTAATCCCATACCAGATGCAAGCAACAGAATTTTCTCATTAATTTATTATACGATCTAGTTATACTAACAGCTAGATAACTTCTCATGCTATATATTGAGACACACATCAGAAGAAAAAAAGGTCAAAATGAGGGCTATCATATTCACATAGCTAATGAAGGTTCTGTGGAATGCAAAGGAAGAATTGTCCCCTAAACAGGTAGACACATGATTTTGCCATACAGAAGGGAGTTATAGGATACATACAAGTCATTAGCAAGTTAGGTCATGGCCAAAGTTATCAAAGGCAATCAGTCACTCATGAGGGAAGACCAACCTTAAAGGGGTTGCTGAAAAACAATAGGATATGAAGGCTGGGAAGAAATTTTCAAACTTCTCTCTACTCTGGAAAGGGTAGAGTCTTGGAAACCAAGAAAAAGAAAGGTTAAACAAAAGTCTCTTCCTATTCTAGCTAACAGAATGAATATAACATATTTATCTTCCCTGCCTCCAAACACATTATCAGAAGAAATGCAGTACCTATAATAAATGTAGGACAATGGTAGAATTAATGAAAAATGTATCATCAGAAAGCCAGAAACTTGTACTAATCAATATATAAGTAAGAAATATATTAAAATAATCAGACAGGAGAAACAATTACATGTTGTGATAGCTGGAGCTGTGTATCAACTTGGCTGGACCAAAATTCTGTGTGGTTTAAGCTGTTGTGATGTGGTTATTCCCATGATGGGATCCAATGAATATGTTTTAAGCAGCCAGTCTGTTGAAAGGGAGTTTCCCTAGGGGTGTGGCCTGCTTCCGGTATATTTATGGACATTCTGGGAAAAGAGACATTCTTCTGTGGATAGGGATTCTGTTGTGCTGCCTTCAACTGTCTGTGAGTGAACAATCCATCATTTGACCTGGAGATCTTGGATTTGTCATTTGTTGGAGTCAACAGCCAGAATACAACCTGCCAACCTTAAGCTCCTCAGCCTCTGCAGCTGCAAGAGTCGGGAAAAGCCTCCAGCTTGACATCTGATACAAGAACTTTGGACTTGCCAGCTTCTATAAGTGTGTGAGCTATTTTCCTAAGATGAATTTCTCCCTCTCTCTCTATATAAGCTTTATTGGTTTTGTTTCTCTAGAGAACCCAGTCTAACACGTTTGGTACCGAGAGTGGTTCTAGAGAGACAAAATCATAAGAATGGGCTTCCTAAATTGGTTTTCCAATTTGATTAATTGTAAAGAAACCAGTGACTCAGCCTCTGTTAGAGGGCCCTGCTAAACCTTGGCGTGAGGTGGCAACATTAATATGCAAAATAGCACCACCAAAAGATCAAGTACTTGTGAGAAGTGAGGCTCTGGGTGATCTCATATTTGATACTTTTCTGCAATTCTGTCAGCTTGAGGAGTATAAGGAAGCTGGTTTGTTGGTCCTACCTACACTAGACAAAGCGGTGAAAGAGCAAGATGAGCTCAGAGCTGCTGAGTCTTGGCTTAAGCGCCGCATATAAGACCTCAGTGTTTCCAGTTGTGCTCTGAAAGAATGTCTTATGTCTTCTAGTAACAGAGCTGATATTGATGAAAACCAAACCCAGAGTCTTATTGTAAGGGTGGCTGAATTAAAACACCAATTAAATTGGCAACCCAGAATGGTGTCTGAAGTTAAAGTAAGGGCATTGATTGGGAAAAAATGGGATCCTGAAACCTGGAATGGGGACATATGGGCAGATAGTCAGGAAAATCAGGAAAGTGAGCCTGTAAATTCTG